TTTCTTCATTGACTGGCTTGTGTCACTTAGCCTATGCTCTCAGTTCCATCCATGCTGTTGCGATGGGAAGAGTTCCTTCTTTTTTACAGCAGCGCGTATTCCATCGCGTGTATGTGTACAGATTTCTAATCCATTCATCTACTAGAGAGGCACACATACTGTGTCTCCAGATCATATATATGGAGAAGTGCGGCGCTATACACATATGGGCGCACATACCCTCTCAGAGGGGTGTCTCGGGTCTCGGGAGATATATCCCTAAAAGTGGGAACACGGGGTCAAATGGAGATTCCCTTTTCCAGCTTTTTGAGGAAACCCCACTGTCCTTCCAGGGGGTGCCCCCAGCCGGCATTCCTCCCAGCGTGGACCAAGGGTCCCTTTTTCTGCACATCTCTCAGCACTTGTCGTTTGTGGATTTGTTGATGATAGCCATTCTGACAGGTGTGAGATGGTACCTCATTGTTGTTTTGATTTGCATCTCTCGGATGATTAGTGACTTTGAGCATGTTTTCATATGTCTCTTGGCTTTCTGAATGTCCTCTTTTGAAAGGTGTCTATTTAGGTCATTTGCCCATTTTTTGATTGGATTGTTTATCTTCTTTTTGTTAAGTTGTATGAGTTCCCTATAAATTTTGGAGATTAGGCCCTTATCAGATATGACATTGGCAAATATGTTTTCCCACGCAGTGGGTTTTCTTGTTGTTTTGTTGATGGTTTCTTTTGCTGTGCAGAAGCTTTTTATTTTGATGTAGTCCCATTTGTTCATTTTCTCTTTAGTTTCAACTGCCCTAGGAGCTGTATCAGTGAAGAAATTGCTTTGGCATATGTCTGAGATTTTGTTGCCTTTGGATTCTTCTAGAATTTTTATGGTTTCCTGTCGTACATTTAAGTCCTTTATCCATTTTGAGTTTATTCTTGTGTATGGTGTAAGTTGGTGGTCTAGTTTCATTTTCTTGCATATATCTGTCCAATTTTCCCAACACCATTTATTGAAGAGACTGTCTTGGCTCCATTGTATGTTCTTGCCTCCTTTGTCAAATATTAATTGAGCATATTGGTTCGGGCTAATTTCTGGACTCTCTATTCTATTCCACTGATCTATATGTCTGTTCTTGTGCCAGTACCAGGCAGTTTTGAGAACAGTGGCTTTGTAATCCAGTTTGATATCTGTCTAGCCCCAGAACTTAACAATTACCTGGCCTCTAGGATTTGATTTATAAGTGACTGGATCAATGTATAAATAAATCTGTTGACAAATGCATGAACTAAATACTTTAGTTCTGCTCTGTCTTCTCCGCTTTTTCAGGTCTCTTTCTTTGGCCTCATATAATTGTCTTTCTTTCTGGTCTGACTTAACTTACTAACTGCTTTTTCTTTTTCTGTGTACTCTACTTAGCTGTGTCAATGAGCTTTTAGAAAAGAAGTCTCTTTTTCATGAACATCTTTGTTTATGTGCGGAACCCTTTTTCTAATCGCCTACATCTCATGGACATGCTAGTCATTTTGTTTTGTGCCTTTGGGAGCTAATCCTTTAACACTGTCATTATCATAACCATCAAATTATGGAGAACGTGCTGTGCTCAGTGCTCCATTTCGGGAGGGAGGAAGGCAATGAGCAGGAGCAGCCCCTTCCCTAAATGAGATTACCACCTATGACAGGAAGCCAGACAAGCCACAGAATTAAATAAAACATAGAAATGGCAAAAGTGAATTGTTTCTATTATATAAAACAAAGATGTTAGATTTTGTAGTACAGTGAGAAAAAGGGCCCATTTCCCTGATCTAGAAATGAAACAAATAATCTCACTATGGCTCACAACCAATTGGCCAACTGAGCCATATATTGTCTTAAAATTGTGATGTTCTCCAAAAATGCAGCCTCATGTTTTCTCTGGTCAGTTGGGATATCCCCTATATGGGAACAAGGCAGCTGCTACCTGTCTTCCTGTTATAAGAACTCGATGGTAATCTTTCCGCAAACACAAGACAAATTGTAATTATAGAGGAAAAGCATACTCAACAAGAGATGAGAAGCTGATGGCTTTGGAATCATCATAACCTGACTGAAAAGGCTGCCTGAATTAGATGTACTCTTCATACAGAATCCACGTTCAAAGATGCAGTTTGCAGAGTTAGGACAGGAGAGAGGGTGGACCTGCAGAGGTGAATTCCGTCTGTACAAAGGTCAGGGAGGAAGGGAATGGTCAAGAGCAGTAAGGAAGGGCCTCAAGAGAAGCCAGCCGTGGGAGGGGAAAGAAGGGAGGATGAGCAAGTGTGGAAGCCACTACATCATTTTTCAAGTCAGAATTCTGCCAGCCAAGTCCATTCTTACAATGTCTCCTTCGCTCAGCGTTGGTTCCAGTTTATGATGTTAAGCCTTGGCTTCCCTGAATCCTGATTTGTAGAAATATAAAAACCAATCAGAAAGAATATATGCACCCCAATGTTCATAGCAGCATTATTTACAATAGCTAAGAGCTGGAAACAGCCCAAGTACCCATCAGTAGATGAGTGGATAAATAAGCTGTGGTACATTTACACCATGGACTTCAAAAAGGAGATCTTACCCTTTTGCGACAGCACGGATGTACCTGCAGACTGTTAAGCTAAGCGAAATAAGCCAGTTAGAGAAAGACAAATATTACGTGATCTCACTTATATGTGGAATCCAATGACCAAAATAAACTGACAAACAAAATAGATCTAGAGGCATGGCTACATGGAACAAAATAACAGATCTCAATGTAGAGGAGGGTAGAGGGGACAGGAAGAGATTAACCAAAGAATATATATTCATATGTGCATAACCCATAGACATAGACAATAGTTTGGGGAAGGCTTGGGAGGAGGGCTTGGGTGGAGTGAGGAAAAAGGGGCAAAATGGGGATCATCTGTGATACTGTCAATGATCAAATTTTTAAAAAATTTCAACCATCTTATAGAAAAATAAATGCATACAGACATACATGCATACATACCATTTGCTTATCATTTCTTGTAGAGATACTTAATGGCACATAATGTATTAATTCCCAACCATCTTTTTTACTATATAGAAAACTCTTCTGTGTTGTTTTCATTTTGAGCTTTTCTTTTTAATCTGCTACAATAAATGACCAATTTTCTTCACATTTTCCCTCTTTTCAAATATTACTACTTAGGATTTTCATTTATTATTTTATCCATTGGGATTCTAATTCGAGCACACATTTATAAAACACATTTTATTGTTTGGCTATGTTAGTGATAAATAAGTCAACAATAAAAAATGTTTGGTATGAAAAGGGGCCTATATCTGGGAATAAAATCACATAATTTTTTTTCTTCTAATATTTTTTTTCTGGTTTAGATTTTTGTTTAGTTTTAGTTTTGTTTTTGTTTCCCCATGCTCAGTTTGAGCGCTCAGAGAGCAATGGAGGGCAGGGACAGAAGTATACTTGGTAGTTCTTTGCTGCCATCTACTGCGTCTTCATGTAACAACTCTTGTTTCTTTGATTCAGAAAATTTCATCATCTATGACTTACAGCACTATAGTTTCCTCCCTTTTCTCCTTCTTTCTATTTTTTCTTTAGTTAAAGCAAAGTGAAGCAAATGCAGACACCAAAGAAAAACTCCCTCTGCGTCTTCGAATCTTTGAGAAATTTCCAAACAGACCGCAGATGGTGAAAATCTCAAAGCTTCCTTCCGATTTTACAGTTCCCAAAATCAGGTATGAACGTATTTCTTTGTTTATCTCAAATATACTGCAAATGACTCATCTCACATCTGATTCAGCTCTTCTTTCAAACTCATGTGGTTGTGGATTTTTTAAAGTTATTCTCTGTCTTTCTACTCACTCTGTGTTTAAAAACCATTGACCCCTTTAAGCAGTATACTCAGAGCAGTGTCATCTGACAAGTATATTAGCCTTAGCAAGAAGGCTGCTACCCACTGCTCCTCCCTGAGATGCTCCTCAGGGATTTGACTTCCCAGGTAACTGGCGGAGGTCATTGAGGTCACAGAGATGGCAGATAGACATCCACCTCTGACCCTCAACTGAGGCCCTTCTATTTTCAAATCCGTAGAGAAAGGGCACTGGCAGGTTTCCGTACTACTGTAACAGCATTGTTTAGGGTGCCATGTCTGATTACAATATAATTTGTCTTCCTCTTTTTGATAGAAGAACCATGGCATTACCCACTCACACCAATTTGATTTTCTACCATTTTGCCCTCCAATTACACAGTTGCATAGAAGATGCTTTAAAACACTTATTTTAAAAAATTAAAGGAAATTCTTTCAGTTATGGGTCAAAAATTACAAACAGAACCAGGGTAATATTAAATATGACCTTATTATGTAACTGGTTTTAAAAACAATTCTATGGGGCCATTATAAAAGTATGAGACTAGAGGTGGTACAATAATATTTAAAATTCAAATAGAAATATATTTTGCATTTCTGATTTTTTTAAAAATTTAAAAGCTGAAAATATGAGGTATAAAAGACATGTAAATTAGATACAAGATTAGTGGTTATTTGAAAAGATGTTATTTGAATTCTCACCATGCTGTAGAGATCAGATGAAGTAACTTTTTTTGAGTTATTTTGAGTCTTTAAATGCAAAATTATCTCTCAGAGATTCTTAAGATGATTGGAAGTTCAGAGAAATGGACTAATTCTTTCAAGTCTTTGAAGGGGGAAAAGTATCTTACTACCACAATAGGATTAAAAGATACTATGAATTACTAAATTCATAGTATCTTTTAAGTTATTTCAGGGACATTACCTTTGTAAAGCAGTAATGACCAAGATTTAAGAAACTTTCTCTAAATTCATTACTTTGGTAATTCATCTATGGCATATCTTGTTGCCTACGAACTTTGTCAGTGCTTTATTATAGCTTAAGAAAAATGCCACCACTTGCTCCATCTCATCAATAATGCTTCATGTATGTCTACTTCATTTGCAAAGGGAAAGTTTTATGAAGCAGTTCATTGATCGCCAGCAACAGGACACTTGCTGCCTCTTAAGAAGCCTTCCGTCAGCCTCTTCCTCATCATGTGATCACTCCAAACGGTCTGCAATTGAGGACAACAAATACATTGACCAAAAAGTAAGCACCACTGTCTCTAATAACCACATTTTTCTTAAGCACATATGTTAGAGAACAAAACCACAGAACTGTGTGGGGTTCTGAAATCTAATGTCTCAGAAGAATAACGAGAAACATTTATTTGTAGAAGGAATCATTACACCTAACATTGCTTAATTTATAAATTTAAATTTTGGATTTCTATAAGTGAGCATTCGAGCCATGCCATGTAGCAGAAGTGTGACTTGGAATAGGTCAGTTCCCTCCTCTAACCTGCATTTTCTCACCTGCAGCAGGAAGGGCTCAGGTCTCTACTGTTCAGCCCAGGTTTAATGGTTGCCTGTCTGTTGCCTTTTGCAAGAAACCATGCTTATTTCAGTTGTTACACACCAGGGAGAATAACCAGAGCAAGTTTCTCTAAAATCAGTCAAAATAATTACCACTTATTGCGTGCTTAGTAAGTGGCAGGAATTTTCTTAGACACATTGTCTTACTCATGCTCTGATTTACCTATTTCTTTGTCATTTGAAAAGTGATATGGAATTTTTTTTCTCATATTCCACTGTTAGAACATGAAAGATCAATGATTAAATGAGATGAAAGATGAGAGTTTGCAAAGGCATCTAATTTACTTGCAATTATTTCTCCTCATAAGTTTTAGTTTATTTTTCATTTCTTTAAATCCTTGATGCCCTTTTTGTTTATAATCAAATACATATTTCTCTATCATCATGTAAAAATAAAATACCAACTCTTTCATTTTCCAACATTCTCTATTTATCCCCCCATTTCCCTCCTACCCATAAGGGTTATATTATCAGAGTACCTTTGCTTTTCTCCTCTCCTTCTTTCCCACCATCCCCTACTCAAACTTGAACTTCTCCCCTTTGTCATCCCCCTGCCAATTCCTCTGTTTTCTGCTGTAGTTTAGTGATTATGTTCTCAATTATTATGATCATCATTTCTTTTGCAACATGTCTGTTCTTGTTCAAGGATTTTTATTTATTTACTAGAGGCTCGATGCACGAAATTTATGCAAGGGCCTTGGCCCCTACCATTGCGGCAGCCTCCTCTGCCTCAGCCCCCTCTGCCTCGGCCCCCCACCTGCTGCAGCTTTGTCCAGAAGGAAGTACGTCCAGAAGGACATCCGGTCTAATTAGCATATTATGCTTTTATTATTATAGATTTTCTTTTAATCATCAAAGGATTTCATTCTTCTATGTCATAGATTCCAACATTATAGATTGAAAATCTAATGTCAATCTCTTTTTCCTTTTTTTTTTTACTTGAAAGTAATTAGATTTATGTTGTTGGTTGGTTGGTTTTCTTATTTCTTTGGGGAAGCTTGTAAGACTTTCTGAGAATCCTTAGAGTTCAGAACTTTACTGTGATATACTTTGTATGTCTTTTATCATTTGAACTGTCCAAACTAAGGAGTCTTCTCAGTTGGCAGACTAAGATATTTTTCAGGAAAATTTTTATTATTTATTCAATTATTACTTTTCCATCTACTCTTTTTTCCCCCCTCCTCATTTTCTCTTATGATTGGTGTCTCTCTATTTTTCTTCTGTGCTTTAAAATATTTGTTCAGCTTGATCTTCCAGGTCACTAATTTTGTCTCAACTAAGATCATCCTTTGCTTTTAAATTTTGAGTGAAAAGTTATGAAATGTTTATGTGTGCACATGTACTACTCTTAACTCACCTTAAAGACTTACGCTCTTTTTTATTATTATTAAATATGTCTCCTTTATTCTCCACAGTTATATTTCACTCAATACTATGTATAGGGCATGGATGCAAAAGTTCATATGTCAGCTAATAATCTGGTGAGAGGATAAAAATGGCCTGGTTTCATCCAATGAGTCTTGAAATTGCATTTTACATACTAGGAATATTTATTTTCTAAATTTTATTTCAAAAGATGTTAAGCCAGAGGTGTGCATTGAACCCTCACATAGGGTTGTGACCAGCTCTCTCCAGGAAGAGTGTGGAGAGCTGATATCATTTTTGCCCAAAGTGTGAAATCCAGAACATGCTTTTTAAAAATCACTGGTAACATTATCCCACTGGAAACACAAAATCCTATATAATAAAAGGCTAATATGCAAATTGTCCCCTCGACTGGGAGTTCAACCAGGGGGCAGAGCTGGCCAGCCAACCACCGTAGCCCTCCCCCTGTCAGCCCGTCCCTATTGGCCCCTATCAGGGCAGGCCAGCAGACCCCACCCATGCACGAATTCATGCACCGGGCCTCTAGTTAAATTATAGTCTAAAAAACTTATTTTCTCTCTAAAAGGAAACATAATGTTTCTCAAAAATTTGAACAGCATGTTTTGAAATAGGTAAGGAAAAAATTTAAAAGATTCTTGGCAGGTGTGGAGGGTTGTGAGTGGAGTTTAAGGAGAATTTGTCATACCCTTTTGTGTGCCACCAGCATCCCTCCTAGGGGATCTTTGTCTTGGGTTACACTCAGGGAACTTCATATGCCATTTCTGATTTCTTTGTGTCCTTATATTTTTGGGGCTTTTTAAAAATCTTCTCATTTAACAGTTATCTTTAATTAACTGAAAGTAAGAGGATAATTATAGTTGTATTCTGTAATCTTATACTTGAGCCTCCATCATAATCTCCTAAAATACAATGAACTGGCAATACATTGATTCTTGGTGATATCCAAGTCACTCAGCATCTAAAAGAAACTAGAATTGTTGAAGAGGGCTGGCAGTTCCCAATCTATAACGTCAGTTGACGAAACACACAATACATGATCTTATATAAGAAAAATTGTCAGTGATGGTTAGGCTGCCCTTCATTCCCATGTAAGGCTAGTTGGAATAATATTGTTTATCCCCTTAACAGCCTTCATGATCTGGGTAAATGCTGCAATGCAGAAAGTGGGATATAGAGAACGTATTTTCTCCATCTTAGTGGCTGCTACCCAGTGTGGCAGCAGCAAGACTTACCCGTGTGGCCATCCATTCTTAAAGCTTAGGTTGCCAGAAAAGTAAACTTAATAACATCTTTCACTTCAGCTCCATCAGTTACTGGAGTTCTTCGTAAATACTTAGGACTCATCATCCTTGTTGAGTGCCATTGGGCCAGGGAACTCAAGCCAGACAATCCCACCTACTGAACATCAGTGGTGAAGATTTGCAGGAAGCAGAAATCAAAGAGAAAGCAGTTTGGTATTTTCATTTTTTAATATGACAAGCCTTTTTCACTTTTATTAAGAAACCCCAGAGCCACTTAAAAGCAAAAAATACATAAACACCAACAAAAATCCTGAACAGAGATTAAGCTCCCCAGTAAAGTATTAGGAATTTCCATTACAATCCTAGTTGTCTTCGGAAATGCCAGTCAATGTCATATGGATGGTAAGGCACTTCACTTTATGTGAAAAAATTCTTCCAACACCAACACAAATTGAGACTGTTTTTCCTCAAAGAGTGGTAAGAAATAAAAAGAAAATGAAAGTCTGGCTTATCATTGATTCTATAATATGACAAAGAAACAATAAAATAAAACCTTCCCCTTAATGATTACCGGGAAGGGGAAACTTCATTACACTACAGGGAAGCACTTTTGCCAGGGAAAACAGAGTCCCAGGAACCTAAAGATCACAAGTGAAGTGGGGGGGGGCCGGCGGGGGGGAGACCAAAGCTGACAACAAAGGCTAAGGGGCAGGGGGAGTGAGAGTGATTAAGCAATGCAGGAAACACAAAAGCACATGTAAGGCAAGGTTTTCTCAGAGTCATTACCCTGGGTTTAAACATCCATAAGCAATTCCTATGGCAACCTCACTTTGCAGAGGCCATGCTTTTAAAATAGCCGTGTTCAGTTACCTTTATCATGCGGTTTAGCATTCTTGTTCTTCTCCTTGTAAACAATAAGCAATCAAGAATGTAAAAGCTTTAAGCCATTGTTGTGGCCTGCCCAGATCCTACAGAAAGGATAAATCTGCAAATCTTGAGAGGAGTTTTTCTAGTTTCCAGGCAGAAGAAAATCAGTCAATGGTTTTCTACCTATTTTTTTTCTCCATATTATTGAAATTAAACCCTAGGTTTATTAAGTTGAGTGCTTGTTAATAAACTGAGACGTAACTTGGCTTTCCAGTAACTCTTCTAGAAGCTTATAATCTAATGGGAAGAAACACATGTAAATGGATGAAAATAAAAAGAATTACAGGAACACGAGACAGGACCTAAGTCCTCCTTATGGGAGAAGAAAGTTTGAGCGATACAGGAGGAAGGTGCTCCAGGCAGAGAGGAAGGCATGTGGAAGGACACGGAAAGCATAACATGCTTGACATGTGAGAAGCAGAGTAGAATAGAGATGGAGTGATATAGCTTTCAATCCTCACCTATAAAATAGAGATTTTTATTTTTAAGGTTTTTATGATGATTTAATAATATATGTTAAGTGCACCTAACATACGTGCCTATCATACCAGAAAAGAAAGGTTATTGATATTAAATTATACTGTGAAGTCAGACTCAGCAAATAGACTTGTATTAATCAATCCAGGCAAATGACTTTACTTAAATTAGCCTTCAGCTGTAACAGTCTAGTTGAGCACAATATATTAAGTCCTGCTTTATTTTCCCTATTGTCCACGAATCTGATTTTTTTTTTAGTCTGATTTTTAATGACATTTTAGTTACTAACCTCCATTGCCTGTCTAGTGTCTTAGACTCTCAAAAAGTAAATTAAATTGTTCTGGAAAGATTTGCTCTTCGCAAAGCTTTGTTGATTGCCATTCAGCACTTTGTAATTTTCTGTGTGATTATAGAGTATTCGATGATTTGTTCCAGGAACTCCACACATAGCAACTTATTCAGCCTCATCTGTAATTTCCAGGATGAACATTTACTCAGTTTTAAAAAGAGAACAGCCCGTTTTTATCTTTAGGACTTTTGCTCTTCTGAAAGAATCTTCTAAAATGACAGCTTAGCATCTCTGCAGTGTCATTCAAGATATTTCTCTAGGACAGTGGTCGGCAAACTGCGGCTCTCGAGCCAC